AGAGAGAGAGAGGAAGAGAGAGGGGGGGGGGGTGTAAGAGGGAGAGAGGACGCTGCTGCACAGCTGTCAGCACACGCACACATACACGCACCGTCCCCTTTTTTTGTTCAGACATCAGCTCCCTGGCGGTCCTAGAGAGTGTAAGAGACGCCCCAACAATCTCCTCCTCTTCTCTCCCCTCACGCACCCCTTCTCTCTTTCTCTTCCCTCATACACCCCTCCCCTCCCCTTTTCCCCGCTCCTCCCTAGCCACCAAACGCAGCAGGCTCACCATACACACACAGGGGAGGGGGAAGGGGGGTAGAGGGCGCGTAAGACGGGTCCGCTAATTGGTTGAAAAGGGGCCAGTAGGAAAGGACCAAGGAGACATCCCGCAGAGGGCAAAAAAATAATGTAAGTTGGGGAGAAGAGAGGGAGGGATAGGGATGGGGCGAAAGACATAGATATAGGCTGAGAGTGATATGGGGGGAGGGGGGGAGGAGTGACAGAGCAGAGAAGGAGCAAAGATCAGACATGGTGGCAAAGCGGTTCGACAGGCGAAAGGAGGTGATGAGAACAGAAAACGAAGTGCTTGTCGTGCAGGACCCTCGAGGGGTGGCCTCTTCACCTTCGCATCCCCGACTCCACGCCCCTTCCCCTGTCCCCGCCTTTTCTGTTGGATCGCGAGCAAATGCTGTCGGCTACCCGCTCCGTGTCATCATACCCCATCGAGCGCGAGCAGAGCGAGCGAGCGTACCAGCCCGGCCATGCCATTGAGTAAACACTGATCAAAGGTGGAGGCGGAGAAAGAATTGCAAGACAGCAGCATCGCTGTGGATAAGGTTCGGGACCCAAAATAGCAGAACGCGAGGAGTGACAGGGGCGGGGGGGGGAGAGCAGGTGGTGGTGGTGGTGTGCTGGTAGGGGGGCGGGGGTAGCAAACAGAGCGGCAGGGCGGGTCATTCGGGAATAGCAGGACCTTTCTGCGCGAGATCGATTCCACCTGGGCTGGTGGACACGATGGGGAGAGAGAAAGGACCGAGCGGGGCTGCGTGGACAAAACGGACGGGAACGGGCGCCTCAGAGGAGAAAGTGAAACCACTGCAGTTCCAGCGCCCTTAGCAGCAATATCGAGGCAGAGTTATGTCTCACGATTGGACATTACGGCGGCGTACAAAACACACGGCAGAAAGACAGAGGGATTTTTTGGAACTAAAAGACCAGGCTGGTGCACACAGAAAGAGGAATAACTGTTCCAACCACCGTCTTGTTCTCGTATCCGAGTTTTTGGTCCCAATACTTTGTTGCTAACCCTTGGACAGCCGGTGATTAAGCCACCCACGCATGTCGTTGTAGGACTAGCATCCCATGTTCTTAAAGCCATTTGAAGGACAAAATGTTGTTGTTGAGTGGCACATGTCGTCACACGTTTTTCTTGCGTAACGGCCTGATTGTGCTCAAACTAGGAAAAGTCTGTGCACACGCTGGCAGCACTGGCACTAGCGCGTGATGCTCGGGAGCTCGGGGCGTAGCTCGAGGCCAGTTGTGGAGCCCAGCTGCCCCATTGCGTCCCTTTCGCGGACCACCAGTTTAATTAAAAGAGAACCGCCAACCGCCATTTTTTTCAAACTACGTTTCTTTTATATACGCGCCCTCATTTTTTTAACGACTAGTTCCGCCCGTCAACTAACCGTGAATTATTCGAAGCGAGTTCAAGGGTAAACACGCCTGATGCCGCCTTGATGCCACAGCACCTTATTAAGGATAGCCTGCGCCACAGCCCAAGGCCGTTAATGTCAAGCGTAACCCCCATTACTTTTTTCACAACAAACAATTAATTTTGTCCCCCATCCCAAATTATAAAAATTTGCCTCTATACAAATCTCTAGTACCGGTACGTGATAAAATACATAAAATGAAATGCACAGAAATAATTATTACTTTCTTCAACGCGAACAAACAGGTGACTATTTTAACACGGCCAAACCCGACCCTTCCTGACAGCAAAAGAGGCCTGGGCCGCCTGGGCTGCACCAATGTTCCGAAAGAGGATCCGGCCAATAAGACAGGCCTGAGGGTGGGGCCGGTTCACAGAGGTGGCGTGGCTCGGCGGGGCGGGGCGCGCCCAGAGGGGATACCGACCCAATTCCCGATTCAGCATTCAGAGCGTTCACCTCCATTGTGTTTTATTTTATCGTTTTTTTTCTCTTCTCTGTGTTCTCGGTGAGATGAGAAGGAATAACGTCTAAAGTCGCCGACTTTGGCTTGGGAGTTCTCATCGCTATTGTGCCTTGACTTTGGGCGTCTGAAACTACTCGGGCTCGGGGGAAGGTCGAGCAGCAGAGGGCTCCGTCTGGATCTGCCACACAGGGGTGCGGCTCAACGACCAGGCCAATGAATGATTGACCGACACAGCCCCAAGTAAGAGCACAACCGAATCGTTGAAAAATTATGGATGTATTTTGACGGTAGAACTCGGAGGACGGCGACGCGGGGAGTGCGGCGACCGTGACGTCGACGCGAACGACTTTTCGCGCAAACGCGACCGTGAAACGAAGGGCGCGTCGCTCCTATCGACCGCGGGCGGCATCCAAACTTCCCGCCGCGGGCTGCTGTCCAAACCGGCCCCGCCCAACCTGCCCCACCCAGCCACCGCGCACCCGCGCTTCGCGAAGCGCTCCGCGGAGAGAGCCCATCCCGCCAGCTACACGTTTCATAACGACGACAGAGCACATCGGCAAAAAAAAAGAAAGAAAAGAGTTAGTCGCGTAGGTCCCGAATGTGTAAACCGACTCCACCGGACTCCGCACAACGTAGCTAGTTTTGTAACGATCGACGACAGGACTTGTGGACTATGTGAAGTGTGTACGCGCATCGTGTAAACGACTGCGGGACGCCTCGATAGAACGTGAGGTGGGGGTGGTCTATGACGCACGCTCGCTCGCTCGCTCACTCTCTCTCTCTCTCTCTCTCTCACACACACACACACAAGACGCCCACGCTGCCCTGCCTCTGCCATCGCGCCCTACTGACAAAACCGGGCACGCGCCAAAATCATATGAGACGAAATTCGAGATCGGCGGGGCGGCTTGCTCGTGCCGCTCTTGCCAACACACAGCACCATCCAAGATGGAGCAGCCGAAGACAGCGTGGTGGCCCCGAGCCCCGAGGGGGGTCCCCTTCGGGGAAGAGGATAAGCGGCGGGCCCACGCCGTCACGTCCCTGGCGAGGGCAGCCGTGCGGGTGGAAGCTGCGGCGGCGTGCGTGTATAGGTCAGGGCAGGGCGCGGAAAGAGAGGCTGTGGAAGAATCATGCAGCCGCCCTCGGAAAACCGCACCTGGCAGCAAAATCGTGACTTTGCCGTTACCAATAAAGTTTTGGTCGCAAGAAAGAAAAATTTACAGTAGGAAACAAAATTTGTTCCATTTTACAAAACGCACTTTCGTTCACATTAATAAAAAAACCCGCCGCCCGCACGAAAAACATTACCCTGTTTTCTGGCAAGAAATTTTCGTTGTATTACCTTATTTTAAAAGAAGCGGTTTTCTGGGAGCGGTGATCCGAAAAGAACACGTTGAAGAGGGGTGAAGTTTCCTAACCTTAGTAACACGAAGACCTGGGTGCCCGTGAAGCTAGGGGGGCCCCCCGGTGTGGTTATCAGTATCAGGAGAGCGACCCCGGCGAACAGACTGGTGTATATCCCATACATGCAACATAACGTTCCCCGAGAACAATAGACGCTCCGCAAGTACAATGCGAAGCGAGCAGCAAGGTTTGCGTTTAACTACCTCTGCGGAAACCGCCCCAAAACAATAGTCGCGGTTACAGCGCGCGGGATATCAGTGGCAAACCCCCTGCAGCGAAGGCACGTACCCCGCGCCCTCCCACCACCCTCCTCATCCTCGCAGTACTCGTCCTCCTGTACCAGTGAGACGCGCGCCTTGCAGCCCCACCCGTTCCGCAACGCTAATTCCGACGGTGTTTGCATGGCTGGTTTACTGAGCTCCCTCCTCGGCCACTTTATTCCTCTCCGAGAGACGAAAGAGAGATGCGGAGCGAGAGAGGGAGAGAGAGAGGA